TTAAGAATGACATATGTGTATATATAATATCCTCATGTCCTAACTTACTCTGACTATATTTTTAGTCATCCATTTTCCTGTGGTTCCTAAGTGGGTGCTACATGAACAGTATTCTATTTATTTATACTATGTAGCGGATATATTTACTTTACAGCTATTCACTGTATGCTGGAACATTCTATAGAAGTTACAAGAGTCTGCCCTTTTTAAATCACTTGCACATTTTTTCTCTTTATAGACTCTAACAAATATAATTTAATAAAGATCTTTTTTATTTTTTATACTATTAAACCCCAGGCCTTACAAGTTAATATCATCATTGTGGGTATACCCTTGGGGGGGGTTGAGAGGAACGGTTTTATGCCTTTTTTCCTCTCTAATACCCCAAGGTAATTTCTTTTCTTTGATTCAATTCATCTCTATGAGGAGATGCTGATGGGCCAGGGCTCTGTTTGAATTGTGCTGCCTCTGCCCCTGATCTGCCTCCTTGTCAGTCTCAGCCAATCCTATGGGGAAGCATTGTGATTGGATCAGGCTACCAGTTCTGATGATGTTAGCCTTTTTTTGAGGCTAAAAGCATGCAGAGTTACAGCTTCAGGCTTGAATACAGTAAGATGTTGCTATATTTATGGAGGCAAGAGGGGCCCAGGGGGGGGCTAGATGGGGGTGTTAACACTATAGGGTCAGGAATACATGTTTGTGTTCCTGACCCTATAGTGATCCTTTAAGCACTTCCCGGAATCTGGTACCAAAATTGATAGAATCATCATAGGCCACATCCTAATTGCTGCTACCTCGTGTTTACCACAATACTGGAAATCGGATGATACTCCAACACTTAAAGAAGTTTTGAATCTGGTTTTAGAAAATAAAAGGAACGAAATGTCATATAGACAAAACTCAGACTTACCTAAACAACTTCATCACAGTTGGGATAAATTGGAAAACATCATTAAAAGAATTTACCATTTATAATCGTCATGATTATGCAATGTATAGCAAAATGTTAATGTAATATTATGATAATTATCTTTATTGTAGATGGATACCCTTCCCTTTTACCACCTTTACTCTTCCTCCCTCCCCTGAAAAGCAGGTTTATTATCTTTGTTGTAAAGATTTTAATACTTCAATAAACAATATTTGAAAAGAACATAGCAGGGGGCTGGGAGAACTAATGGTCCAAAGAGAGCATAGCGGGTGGGAGAACTAATGGTCCACAGAGAGCATAGCGGGTGGGAGAGCTAATGGTCCACAGAGAGCATAGTGGGTGGGTGGGATAACTAATAGTCCACAGAGAGCAGAACTGGTGACTGGGGAGTACTAATAACCCTCAGAGATGGTGGCTGGGGAGAACTAATGGTCCACAGATAGCATAAATGGTGACTGGATCCACAGAGAGCAGAGCTGGTGACTGGGAGAACTAATGGTCCACAGAGAGCGTAGCTGGTAGCTGGGAGAACTAATGGTCCACAGACAGCAGAGCTGGTGGCTGGGAGAACTAATGGTCCACAGAGAGCAATGCTGGTGACTGGGAGAACTAATGGTCCACAGAGAGCAGAGCTGGTGACTGGGAGAACTAATGGTCCACAGAGAGCAATGCTGGTGACTGGGAGAACTAATGGTCCACAGAGAGCAGAGCTGGTGACTGGGAGAACTAATGGTCCACAGAGAGCATAGCTGGTGACTGGGAGAACTAATGGTCCACAGAGAGCAGAGCTGGTGACTGGGAGAACTAATGATCCACAGAGAGCAGAGCTGGTGACTGGGAGAACTAATGGTCCACAGAGAGCAGAGCTGGTGGCTGGGAGAACTAATGGTCCGCAGAGGGCAGAGCTGGTGACTGGAAAACTAATGGTCCACAGAGGGCAGAGCTGGTGACTGGGAGAACTAATGGTCCACAGAGAGCATAGCTGGTGGCTGGGAGAACTAATGGTCCACAGAGGGCAGAGCTGGAGACTGGGAGAACTAATGGTCCACAGAGGGCAGAGCTGGTGACTGGGAGAACTAATTGTCCACAGAGAGCAGAGCTGGTGACTGGGAGAACTAATGATCCACAGAGAGCAGAGCTGGTGACTGGGAGAACTAATGATCCACAGAGAGCATAGCTGGTGGCTGGGAGAACTAATTGTCCACAGAGGGCAGATATGGTGACTGGGAGAACTAATGGTCCACAGAGAGCAGAGCTGGTGACTGGGAGAACTAATGATCCACAGAGAGCATAACTGGTGGCTGGGAGAACTAATTGTCCACAGAGGGCAGAGATGGTGACTGGGAGAACTAATGTTCCACAGAAAGCATAGCTGGTGGCTGGGAGAACTAATGATCCACAGAAAGCATAGCTGGTGACTGGGAGAACTAATGGTCCACAGAGAGCAGAGCTGGTGACTGGGAGAACTAATGGTCCACAGAGAGCAGAGCTGGTGACTGGGAGAACTAATGGTCCACAGAGAGCATAGCTGGTGACTGGGAGAACTAATGGTCCATAGAGAGCAGAGCTGGTGACTGGAAGAACTAATGGTCCACAGAGGGCAGAGCTGGTGACTGGGAGAACTAATGGTCCACAGAGAGCATAGCTGGTGACAGGGAGAACTAATGATCCACAGAGAGCAGAGCTGGTGGCTGGGAGAACTAATGATCCACAGAGAGCAGAGCTGGTGACTGGAAGAACTAATGGTCCACAGAGAGCAGAGCTGGTGACTGGAAGAACTAATGGTCCACAGAGAGTAGAGCTGGTGGCTGGGAGAACTAATGATCCACAGAGAGCAGAGCTGGTGGCTGGGAGAACTAATGATCCACAGAGAGCAGAGCTGGTGGCTGGGAGAACTAATGATCCACAGAGAGCAGAGCTGGTGACTGGAAGAACTAATGGTCCACAGAGAGTAGAGCTGGTGGCTGGGAGAACTAATGATCCACAGAGAGCAGAGCTGGTGGCTGGGAGAACTAATGGTCCACAGAGGGCAGAGCTGGTGACTAGGAGAACTAATGATCCACAGAGAGCAGAGCTGGTGGCTGGGAGAACTAATGGTCCACAGAGAGCAGAGCTGGTGGCTGTGGAGAACTAATCATCCACAGAGGGCAGAGCTGGTGGCTAGGAGAACTAATGATCCACAGAGAGCAGAGCTGGTGACTGGGAGAACTAATGGTCCACAGAGAGCAGAGCTGGTGACTGGGAGAACTAATGATCCACAGAGAGCAGAGCTGGTGACTGGGAGAACTAATGGTCCACAGAGAGCAGAGCTGGTGACTGGGAGAACTAATGTTCCACAGAAAGCATAGCTGGTGACTGGGAGAACTAATGGTCCACAGAGAGCAGAGCTGGTGACTGGGAGAACTAATGGTCCACAGAGAGCAGAGCTGGTGACTGGGAGAACTAATGTTCCACAGAAAGCATAGCTGGTGACTGGGAGAACTAATGGTCCACAGAGAGCAGAGCTGGTGACTGGGAGAACTAATGGTCCACAGAGAGCATAGCTGGTGACTGGGAGAACTAATGATCCACAGAGAGCAGAGCTGGTGACTGGGAGAACTAATGATCCACAGTGGGCAGAGCTGGTGGTTGATGTGGCTGGAAGCACCTCCTTGAATGTCACTGATATTTCTTCATGAATTTCGCGTGGAATTCTGTTATAGTTCTCAAAATAGTCTTTAGTTTGTTGATGGGAGAGAGCAGAGT